AACGCGGCTGCGTAACGTGCAGGGTCCGTCCGCGCGTGTCCGTGTCCCCCCGCAGACGCACGGCCGCTGCGCCTCTGCAGGCACGGGACCCACGCGCGTAGGCGGGGAGGCGAATGCACGTGTGCACCAGGGACGTGCTAATGTATGCTGTATCCATGTCTGTATACGTCTGCTATACATACACACACACACACACCAGGTAACTACATACGCGTACTAGATATACAGGTATATTAGATGTATACTACATAGATATGTATGTATACACACTATTTACGTGTTCTAGGTACGCTAGTGTACTCATGTACTAGGTACATGCTGTACAGATACATATCTATATATACACATATACAGATACGTATGTTACATGCACGCTCTCTCAGTATAGATACAGATATATATGGTATACCTTCATAAATATTTATACACTATTCATCTACTGGACGTATTAGGAATTATATGTTAGAATAGAATAGAACAGGTATTGTATATACATACTAGATACACAGTGTCTATAGGTATATGTCATTATATACAGCAAAGTACCTCACTTCTGCACACACACAGTGCCTGGAAACGCCAAGCTGCCAGCCCAGACACGCAGGCACACTGGCACATAGGTTGGCACCGCCACCAGTTTCCCGGCTGGTGCCATATGGGAACCCAGGCACTGAACACAGGGCAGGAAAGCGCTGCCTGTGCTGCTGCTGCCTGTGCCGCTCCCATTTCCCCTTTACTAACCCCGCGGGCAGGCAGGGCACAGGGACTGCCAGCGCCCAGGGCCACCTGGGCACCACCCGCCTTCCTCTGCTGGCGGGAAACACCGTGGGCAACTCCACACGCTGCTGCTGCCAGCAAGTTCGGGAAGGGAAGATGCCAGATGCCGTCCATGCAGTTGGCATGTCAGGATCTGCCTCTGAGATGCTGACAGAGCTGCTTATAAAAAAAAAAAAAAACAAAAACTAAAAATAAAGAACAATACCAGCCCAAACCTGCAGCAGCACATAAGTATTTTTTTTTAAAAAAGAGAATATAAGCTTCTCCACCAGAACTATTTTGGTAGTAAAGTGTTCCTGAAGCATCTAAGGTTCCCCTAGGGCTGCAGCAAACCTCACAGAGCCAGCAGCCCCTCTGCCCTGGGAGTGCCAGCGGACAGCGCTCACCTCTGCAAGGCAGTAAAACGTCCCTGCGAGAGCCTGCCAAACCCAGGCAAGGGCCGACCGTCCCACAGGGATGGCCATTTCCAGGCCTCCAGGCGGGCTCTGAACAAGGAAACCCTTGCACACCTTTGCACACCCTCGCTTTCCCCCTCCCTGCCCCACTGCCTCCCAGCTGAGCACACCTGGCTGGAAACATCCAAAATCTTCTCGATTTGTGCCAGGACAAGCTAAGCCCTTTTGTTGAAGATTATCATAAGTTTTTATTGAATCTTTCGATATTTTGTGTTTAATAGTGAATAAGCAACTATAAGAACATTTTGATCAATCTTTATGTTAGCGTTATGTAGGGGTTGCTGTGTTACTAGTTTTTATGTTAGCGTTATGTATGGGTTGCTGTGTTATTCACTGGACCGTGTTAGCCTTAATCTTAATTTTCTAGACCATAACCAAACCACTTAGGCTTTATTGTATATGGGATGAGTTATTTGACAACTTGACAAGGTAGATGAATATCTAGCTAACTTGGCAACAAAACTTACTTTTAAAGTAACCTGAAGTGAACTGCCCTCATTATAATACTAAAAAACACACCCACAGGTCAAGAAGACCCTTGCTCAGGTGAAGACCCTTCCCCTGCGCAAGCGTAGCAGCAGAAGAGAATGACACAGCACATATTATAAGTATATGTAAATGAATAACCAATCATTTTAAATGGGAGTGTGCTACCTTGTAATTCTTGTATATAAATATAACGGTGATCTAGCGATAGGTGTGCTTGATTTGTGGAAATTCCACCTTGCACCCAGTGCCGCAATAAAGAATGCCTGCTTTCTAAAACTCCAAATTGAGTCTTAGAGAGTTCTTCATCTGCCGATTTACAGTAACACTTTGGGAAGAGGATGTATCAGATGTTTGTTTTAAAGCTATTCCTCTTATGCCAAAAGCTCATCTGGCCCCAGCCCAGATCTCAGCATCGCCCTCCTCCCCTTGCGCCGACCCCAAAGCAGCTCCTGGGCGCAGGCGGGGTACAGAGCCACCCTTTGTGTGTCTGCCCAGGGCACACATGAGGAAAAAAGATAAGCTCTATAAACAAGTGTAAGTATATAAGTAAACATAGCCTCAAAATGCCGTTCCAGGTGCCTTTGAAGTGTTCAGCTCCCACCTCCTCCCGCACTGAGTACGAATGAGCTGGATGTGGCATCAGGAGCCCCCCAGCACTGCCCCTCTCCCCTGTGCATCCACCCACAGCCCCCAGCTGCTGCCTCATCCTGCCAGCCCCATGCTGCCAAACAATTCTGGAAAATCCATATCCCCAGGAAAATATATGCACAGAGCTCATGGGAACAAGCTATAATGCTCGGGCTGCGAAGCGTGTTTGTAAAACTGTGATCAAAACCCGACCAAATAAAAAAACCATTTAACGTGAAACACTGGAAAAGCAACAGATAAGGGTCAGTTTAGGCAGAGATGAAAATGTCAGCAAAGTCAACGAAGGAAATCCCCTTGCAAGCAGCACCCTGCCCCAGGCCAGGCACCAGGAAGACCAGCCTGGAACAAGCTAAAGGAGGCATAAAAAGTTCATGGAACAACGACAAGAATTTCAAAGTGAAAGTGCCCACAATAGGACACAATGCAGAGTAAATAAGGAAAAAAAGCAAGGCAGAAGATAAATGAGAAACGGAAGATGGCTATGTGATGCAGAGGGTTTGGGCTGGTGGTTTTGTCTTTCCCGACCCCATCCCGTGACTGCCACTCAGAGCTTGCTAAGGGTGGCTGTCTTGAACGATTATTTTCCTGACTTTTTCCAGACACCCTCACACTGAGGTGAAGAAATACATTCATGCAATAAATGTCCTGATAACTATGCCAACACAAAGTATTCATAAATTATCCCGAGGCAGGCCCAACCCGGCACACATTGTAGAGTTGCACAGCAGCTATATCACTTGGTCCAAAATACTCAAATTAAGTCTTTTCCTTTGAGGGCCTGATTCACCACCAGCAAATCCTGTTCCAGTTTTGCATCAGCAACCCTTTACCAGTTTAAACTGGAGTCATGCAGTGGTGAAGCAAGGCTTGAATTCAGTTTCCCAAAGCATAAATCATCTTTCTTTCAAGGACAGGGACAGAACTGATAGCGATTTATGGGTAGCTTTAATGGCACTTGATAAGCTAGTCCTTCCTGCAGAAAGAGAAAGTTGAACTCTTAATTGCACCCTGGGACGAGTTCTCACAGGCAGCACCATGGGGTTTTCCTGCCTCTCCTCTTTGAGAGGAGACACATGAGTCCCCCATCGCTGAGGTCTGCTGGGGGAAACCACTGCAGGCAGCCATCCAAGCCACCACGGAGGATTCAGGACACAGAGTCTGAGATGCCTTCAGATTTTTCTGAGGGTGCCAGGCACTTGTCGCCTAAAAATCAGGCTCTGCTTGAGCCATTCAGGTGGGGCATCGTGAACGCAACCACCCAGAGCCATCCAGAGCATTCTCCCCTCCCACGACTCCTCCCTGATTGCAGATACATCCCCCAAACCCCGTGTCTGTCCCAGCCATCAGGCAGGGAATGAGCAATGCCACTTCCACAAGAGACTACCCAATTTTACAAATGGGGGCGAATCATATAAACACAGTACCTGTACCAAATATGTGGAGGATAGCAGTTTGTCTAAGGAGTGAGACGAGGAGAAGAGCCATCTCTTCTTTCTCTCTCAGTGGATTTGACCAGAGTTTTCAGAAGCGGGTTGTTCAGCACAGAAGTTGATAATGACTATTTTTATTATTATTATTATTATTACTACTACTACTACTACTATTATTTAGAACAGTCTACACATTTGCTTTTTGGGTACTATTTGAGCAACTAATGTATTTACCAGAATACTTACAGAAAACAAGAAAGAGACATAAAGACAACTGATGTAAATGCTCCTGAATAGCCCACTTTGTGGTCTCAGATATTTTTCTGCCCAAGCCAGCCATAAGGACACTAAGTCACAAGGCTGCAGGATTTTCAGTGCTCAAGTTGATTGTTTACCTCCTCAGTGGACTCATTTTTTAAGAAAAGCTCGATCAGCGACCAGTTGTACTTGCTGGTTTTGGTTGGCTGTGCACCATCCCAGTACAACAGTGCATGTGTTCCAGCCATGTATGGGATCATTAAAATGTATGCAAAGCAAGAGAATTTGTTTGAATGTATTCAAAGAATAGCTATTCACATATTCATACAGGAATTTGTGAGAGTACCCTGTGCCAAACTTAAAATGTGGGCTGTAATTGTTAGCTTAGGACAGTACGTTATACTGTACAGTTAAATCCCTTTTGTCAGGAAATTGAGATCTTTTCATTCCAATGACAAACGAGTCACATACTTTGCATGTGATCCCTTTGCAATTAGCTTAAGCATGGAATTAGCCGTGTTCAACTTGCAGAGGCAGCATCTGGTCAGTCTTCCAAAGCCTGGCACTTTTCCTTATTCATATGTGTCCCTCATGCCCCTGCTAAACCGCTCACCTTGGAAGCCCATCACCAGCTTCACCTGAGCACAGTCCAGGTCATCATTCATTATTATGAAATTAGATTTTTCCTCTCCAGTTCTTGCTCCATCCTCAAGTTAAACAAACTTTTCCTGCAGCTGCAGGACCATTACTTATCGATAGCAGTAGAATTAAGTCCTCCCCCTGAAAGGAAGGGATCAATTTTAATACTGTAAGTTTCCAATTGCTACGGCTTCCTCCTCGGTGTGTATATATATATATATATATATATATATCACAGCAACATATCTTGATTCAAGGTGAAACCATCCCCTAAATATTTTCCTATAGCTTGCTGCTATTACATTTACCTATCTGACACCTATAGTTGCCTTTCCAGAGACTACAGGGTCACGGCTCCACAGTTAGCAGCTGGCGGGGGGTGAGGAGGGGGAACAGAGCCCACCAGTGCCAGGATCAGGCCCAGTGGTCCCAGGCGGTGGGCAGGAGGCCTTGGACCTGCCTTTGAAGAAACGCCGTGCTGTTGCCGCTCCCTGCGGCAGCTCTGCCAGCCCAGCGTGGCCGGAGTCAGGCACGCAGCCAGCCCATGCCCCAAACAGGGCGCTGCACCCACACACCCTATGCCCCCCATCCCAGGCCTGTGATAAGAGTAAATAAAATTAATTGTGCTCACAGGATCCCTAGACTATCATACCCCAGACTCTTACACCAACTTCTTCCCACCTCAGAAGCGGCTGGCCAGCCCCCAATGTCGGCTACAGAGGGACAGAGATGCAAAAAGCAGCACTGGGAAAGGGGGAGCTGATGAAGGGGGGGAAGAGGAGGGAGCTCCCGCCTCGCCTGGTCATTAGGGTAACAGGATTGATTAGCGGAGGTGCTTTGGTTGGCGGGCAGCTGGTTTGAGATGGCTGCTCCCAGGGCTGGGTGCCCCCAGGCCATCAAACCCCTTTACCGGGGACTTTCCCCCAAGCCACACCAGCATCTTTCTGGCTGCCGTTAAAACGCTCGTTACCAGA